TAATAATTCGAAAAAACAGCTGAGACGTGAAAGCAGTTTCTAGATTCAAAGCATACGAGAGCGTCTGAAACGAATATTCCAAAATAGTAGTCATTTTAACAAGATTTAAGTCATGAACCACCATGTGGGTCACCTGTCCCATGTGGAAGCCACTGCATGACCCATCATGTGTATCACATTGCCGTCAGTGTGTTAGTAGATACGTGTTCCCCAAATTTCGAACACTTGTTACTCATCTCACCCCACCGTGGCCAAGAATAAGCTTTAGGTTCAGCTTTAAAAAACTGACACAAAGTTAGGGCACGACTCCCAAGCAATCCTGTCATTAGATTCCCGAAGAATGCCACGAGAATGCTCATACACCCATAAAGGCAGTGTTTCCTAAATCGTTTCCTTTTTCATCTTTTCGGAGCCTTCTGGCCATGCTAAAACTATATCTGGGCTTTGCAGCGCATGAAAATAGCGAAAATGATCTTTTTTCGAGGCTATTCATGCCTGCTTCGCTGGATATACGTGTAAGTGGACGGGCGAACGAAATCCGGAAGACTTGCAGAGCGGATTTCAGGCTTCCCAGAAGGGCTTTTCAAACTTCACTGGTAGATTAACTGGAAGGTCTGCGACTCATGGTTGTGAAATTCCAATGACGCATGACGAACGCCTGCCATTCAGATTAAAGGGCGCACTAGCACGCCGTTTGCTGGTTCCCACAGCGAAAACGCGCACCGTAAATGAGTGGGCGTGGTTTTGTCTTCAGTCTGTGGCTCGCCCAAATTTTCATTTTTATCTCTTTCATTTCACGATGTTTCTTTTCAGTGGTTATGATCGATGATATAGCGAAGTTATACCAGTTTTCTTTTACAGTTTGCATGATTCACCTTACTGAATTTTACTGCCATCAAAGTTTTTGCGTATAAATCATTTATTTCGCAATAGCTTGGCCAGTTTATAGTTCTTATCAAGCGTTTCTTCGAATTTTATTCATTTCGAAACTTTTGTTCTATTGCTGATAGTAGTTGCATAGCTGTGCAGGTAATAAAATGGAGGGCGACAAGCGCAATCTTGCTGATCTTCTCAAGGACGGTGGAGACTCAGGCGTTCCAGAGTATATTGGGCCTCTTCCACTTACTGTCAAAAAGCGCGTTTGCGCTCTCAAAAAAGTACAACTCGATAGCATTGAGGTAAGTCGAGTTAGAGCGCAAATTGGTTTTTCAGTCAATAACTTAAACATTTCCAGGTTGAAGCGAAGTTCTACGAACGTGTTCACCAGCTCGAAAAGGAATTTGAAAGCGAGTTCAATAAACTTTACGAGCAGGTAAGAGTCGCTCTCATTCTCACGCGTATAGGCGGATTAAGTCGTGCGCCTGCAATTAAGTGCATTTTTCT